GATGGACCGAGAAGGATGAATGGGCTCGAGGTAAGAGGAGCAACCAACGGATAAGGTACAGCGGCAACGAACCGAGACAGGGGAGGGACCTATAGCGAACGCGGAATGGCAACGCGATGAAGGAAGAAAGAATTTCATAGGGTAGAGGAGAAAATGAAATGGAAAGAGGAAGGGGGGGGAGAGAAGAAGGAGAGCGAGCGAGCGGCTTGCGAGTTGGAGAAGACGCGATTTGCCGCTCCGTCGTGTAGACCACGTCGCCTCGACACAGACTGCAGCGGCCTGGACAACTGCCGCCCACCCAAGCTGCCTCTCTACCTCGAGCCTCGAGCTTCCAGTACCTAACCTCTACCGAGCGTACCCCGCCATTGCACCTCCCTCCATCCTTCACTTTCTCCGTTCGTTCGACGGAGATAATCCTATACACGAGGGTCGGGGTGAAACTGACTGATATTACCAAGGAGAGGGGGGTTACACAGAGAGAGAGAAAGAGTAAAGGGACAGGTTCTCTGTGGTAGATAAAGAGACAACGAGGTCTCTGTCTTTTTGACAACGCTTCGGAGTAGAATAGCTGCCGTTACAAACAGGTTCGTAGGGCAGGTCACGTAACAACAGGGGCGCGCCGTGAAAATACCGCCAATTGTGCACTAACCCTTTCGTTCGTTCACTATTACACATAAATATAACATAATATGATATTGCATAATCAGCTGTTAAGAATAAAAGTTTTTATCTCGATAAGTTTTTAGTGTTCTTCTTTTTTTTAATTACTTCTTATTTCGAGAGAAAAGATTAAAAGCAACAACTTGAACAGATTAATCACTTTTTGCAGCGCGATTTTCATTCAACGTTATAACTCTTTCACTCCTTCTCTCTTCGTCTTCCGTTTCGCCGCGAATTCCGCTCGCGTGTCCCAAACAGAACATGTCGGAGAGGGCGGCGCGTATCACCCTTGTAGCGTGAGAATTCTTGCGAACTGGCGCCAAGCCAAATGTACCCTAATTTTTCTCTTTTTCTTCCTCGATCATTCCTAACGTCGCCAGTATTCTACCTCTTGTTTATGCTACCGGCAAAAACCAAACCAAAAGCAAACGCGAGACCGCCTGCTAACAGATGCGGACACTAAATGCGTGACTTTCATCCAGATCGCTAATACCGCACGAATGTAGAAATGTTTATCTTGTCCAGATAAACGATCGCGATCGTGTCGAATAAAGTTTACTGACTTATCTGTACACCGATACCATTCCAGTAAATAGGCAGGGGCCAAGGTGGGTCCGACCCTCCTCAAAACGAAAATTGATAAAAAATATTATCAAAATATGAAAAAACATTCCTTGTAACAAAATAGGGATACCGATCGATCGATTGGAATCAATTAGCATTGTCATTTCCCAGGTATTTTTAAGATTTACTTAACTTTCTTAAAATTGATTAGTCATTTAAGCGGTCATTAACTTTTAAAGCCCATTTTGATCCTTTTACTTTGAACGACACCGAGAATGTTGATCATTATCAAAGAACCGTATAATCTTAAGTGGACTCTGATTCAGTGATACCAATAATGTACAATCTTTCTCGATAATAACTTATCCAATTGCACCTAAAACCTGTACACCGACTTACGGTACTTTCCGCAACCGTGCGAATATTTAAGTATGTTAATTTCAGAAGCGACAAACCCGGAAAGAACTCAATTACTTCGGAATGTTGATTAGTTTCAAAATTTGCAAAATTATACCTGATAATTTGGATAAAATCTGTACGTTGATTTTCAGAATGACATCGCTATGAATAAGTAGCAAGGTTCAAAGAAGTTTAAATTTCAATAGAAACCTGCATCTCTTAGAACACGATTGCGAATAATTGGCAGAGTTCTTCGCTTCTTTCCACTTCCATAGTTTTTTCCATTCGTATCGATGATTCACATCTGGCTTGCAACTTTTATGCAACCCGTAACGTTGCAAATAAGGTTATTACAACGAGGTGAATCCTCATAGTTTTTACCAAGCAAGGTTGACCGCGTTGATATGCAAAGAACGTTACAAAGTCAACATTGGTATTATATTCTAGCACTTGGCTGGCTACCCGTACGCTGTAACCGATGCTTGTAATCTAGTCAGATAATTCCCACTGTTTAACGCTATTTAGTAATGTCTACTACATATTCGATGAGTTCGAAGCAGCGGTTCATCGTTCCCGGCTCGTATGACCTGGATCCCACTCGACATTTTTCTTATCTATTTTATTTTTTTTTTTTTCTTTTTTACTTATTCATGGCCCCCTTGGCAAGTTCACGTGCATTCCTAACTGTACCTCGATCGAAACTAAGATTACTACACGAAATATATATTAAAACGAGAGAATTCTCCGATGAAAATTGTAGTCTGTTAGTGAACGTCGATTCGATCGATCCGATCGCGTCTACGGAAGAGTAAAGGTAACGCAATGTTGTTTTCGAATCTTCGAAATTGTCCACGAAGAAGATGCTGCACCGTTGGAAAAGTTTTGCCAACAGGTAAGCATAGAAAGCGTTCGATAAATAAAGTGAACTATGGTTTACAATGTTTATCAAAAGGAACCCGTATTATACGGGGGGTTATTTCATTTATCTGCACCAATTGCAAAGAAAAGCTTTCACGGGGATAAATCTTTGGTGCATCGAGCTCCTCAGGTACGTCAGGTACCCCGGGACATCTAGCGAGCAATCCGTGAAAGCTCGTTCGTGTTAAAGAAAAGTAGGAATCGCAACAAACATAAAAGCACAGGATATATTTTTACATCCTCCTTTCTTATAATCCTCATCAATATTTTCAAATATTCTCAAAAATTTAATTTTTATAGATATAAATTTTAAATAAATTTATACCTTGTCCTCTAAATTTATAACAAAAATCCTTGTGAAATAAAAAAATTGCTGCGCCGATAATAATTTCAAAAGGCTTAGAAATGAATTTGAACGGAACTTCTAAGGGAAAAGGTTCGAACGATAAAAGGTTAAAACGAATAAAGGATCGATTGCAACCCCTCTTTACGCGATCGATTGCTTCCTGCAATGTCACCGAACGCAGCCTCTAAATAAAACGGACCTGCGCAAGGAAGGAAGTAAAGGCAGAGTGGTAAAAAAAAAACATGAAGCGAGCGAAAAAAAGACGGAAGAGGAAAGAGAAGACGTTCCGAGGCTGGGGCATCGAACCGTGACCCTAGCAGCACCTGTTGCCGCCTCCACGCTCCTAGATTAATACGAACCGACCTAACCTGCCGCCTCCGCTCCCTACTAGCCGCGTAGGCACAGTTGAACTACTATAACCTCTCCTACAAACAGATTCCATGGACCGTGACCGTTAAAAAGCTCGACCGTGAGTTCATCGACGCGACGACGAGGTTGAATCGTAGGTTAGTCGGTTGTCTGCCTCTTTGATCGTTACACAAGTGTCTTCATTCATCGTGCCGGTTGGAATGAGTTAAAGGAGCCAATCTCGCCTTCCGTACACCGAGATTTCTCGGAAAGCAATAAATTATTGGAGTAACAGGGTGCAAGGGGAGTTTCGAAGAGCAATAAAAGTACACTTAACGGTTACTAGACCATTCGCGATAGTTCGTCGATAGGTCACTATAATTAGAAACAATTATGCTCGCGTGCCTGAGATGCGATACATCGATATCGACTACTGACGTTTATTACGTCGATTGAATTGCTAACTACGGCCAAGAAATATCGAATACTTTAACGACGCCGTTTGAAAATGGTGCGGAACCGAACACGCACGTTGCGTTTTGCGAACGCGAATCAGAGCCTGTAATTTCACGAATCGGATGTGTCCTACATGCATACGTTTGTGCACACACTTGTCCTGTACTCGTACATAAAAATCAGCCATAATCGAGAAGGAAGGTTTTTATTCGGAACGTTCGAAAATCGTTTCGACGTTGAAACGATGCGCGAAACGACTCACAATCGAGCCGCGCATGCGCAGTGTAAAAAATTCTCACGGTAATATGATCGGCAAATGCAATTCGATATTTCTCGATTGGTTTCGAGTATCTATACCCGGTCAGCACCCTTCGTCGAAGGTCGACGCAAGATTGTACCGCAAGCGATTCTTGTTTTCTACATCACTGGAATTTATACAACGCGAATAATTTCTACTACGGGTTGTACAACGCATACCACCGTTCGCGTAAACTCGGACTGTTTACGATTCGATTACTCGAACGGTACAATCGAATACCGCTTACTACGATTTCCATTCGTCACGTGACCAGTGTACGAATCGATACGGTCGATAAGGGGCAATTTGACTGACGATGATAGAATCGACAGAGAAACACCAATAAACAGAAGCTAAAGGTTTCATCAATTACGTTGTATCCGTGTAATTGTAGGACATTACGAATAATAGCTCGCGAGGTGAATAACGAGACTGAATGATTGATTGCCGACGTTGTCGTTAATTTACAACTCATTATACGCTACCATTCTGGTCGATTACGTATCTCGACTATAAGGATACTCGTAGCTAGAACGTGGTAGGAAAACGACTAATGTCGCCACTGTACAACGTAATTTAGTACACTACGTGCGTACAATGATAGTCATTTTACAATTAACCCATTAATTCCCAGATGCTGCAAATATATTTTCAAAGTAGAGATAAATACCAGCTGTAGGAAGCGGGACGCGTAATTCCTTCGTATATCAAACGGGAACGGCGAAACGTTGTTTTCAATACTAACGTCTGATAGCGATTAATTAAATTCCGAATAGTACGAAAACGAAAGGCGGAAGACGGTATACGCGGTAGAGAATTCAAAGTAATACACGTAACCGGCTTGCGAAAACGGAAAGTAGAAACAGCGAATTGACACTTACCGGCAATCCGTAAGACGGCTCTGTCAGCAGGATCAAGCTGCAGGATACTCAACGGTTTGTCCTTTACCCATTCCTTCAGGCTTCCGTCCAGCTCGAACTCCATTATCCAAAAATCTTCGTACCCTTCCTCTTTTTTTTTCTCTTTTACACCATATTCGTGCAACTCCTCGCTTGGCACTGTTTTCACAACCACTAGACAATTTCACAACCGCGACACACAAGTGAACCGTGTGTTACGTCGTCTTCGCTCAATAGCGTCCACCAGCAGCGAATAGCGCACCGTAGTTATCGACAGCAGGCAGCTGGCAACTTTGCACGCGATATTAGATACGACATCCTCTTCGTTTCTACTCTCTCTCTTTCCTCCCTTATGCGTATGCTTCTCTTTTAAAATAACCCGTTCTAGTTGAAAATAGTTTTGTTGAATGAAAAGCACGTGGAACTCGAATCCACCATTGCCGCGCGTTTATTTACTTGTACGCCGCTGTTGGGTCGAGTACAGTGTACCGCTGCGTAGAAGTGCACGAACTGCACGCCGTAACGGAAGGAAGAGGGAGGTGGTGGCGTAGAGACGACGAACAAGGGAAAGCGTACAATGTATGGCGTTCTTTTGACGATGCCCCGACGATGACTTAACGACCAACAGCGATGGATATCACTTTTCTAGTAACAAACGCAACGTGCTTCCTCTGCACGCCGATAATCAGACGATGCTTCGCATCTTCGTCGTCCGCGGCGCTTAGGTCAGGTTAGATTTGGCTCAAACGGTTAGGTCAGGCTCGACCTCTCAAGACACGGCCTCGGAGATTCTCCTCGTTGTTATTGTTGCTGTACGTCTTAAGACCTTTGGGTCACGATCCCGATGATTCTTCGGTAGATTACTTGACAAAACATCCTAGTCTAATTTCACCGCCCTCGCTGGTGTCTACGTCGTTCCCCTTTGGAAACATTCTATAAATAAAAAAAGAAACATTGCTTTTTTCAATGAATTTGATTATAAATAATTTTACAAGTAATTGACTTTTATCGTGGTACACGTATGGCGTGGGTGTATACCGTGGGAGGAGGATGAGAACAATGTATCAATATTTTAGTAATTGAATTATGACTCATAGTGGGAGGGAAAGTAATGCTTCGGATGGATCGCTACTTTCTTTAAAAAATTTCATAACGCTCGACTATCAACTGTTAGCGTAAAATAAACTGCAACTATTAATTATTGTAATAGGATTCGATAGAAAGAGCCGGAAGCGGATGCGGTAAAAGATATCACGCCGGACTAATTCTCAAGCAGCATTATTAAAAAAGTTGATACATGCGTAAATTCTTGAACATACATATCATCGTTCTACTTTCAAACGGAACTACTTAAATACTTGCTTACACGTATCTATACATAGAATTGTATTTAGCTCAAACAATGTTGCGTCGTTTTTTGAAACATGATTTTTTTTTTTTTTTCATATTTTGACGTTTATTTTATGAAAGAGAACGCTATATGTATCAAGGTGCTTTAGACAAAGAAAGTTTTCGGTTTTTCATTGATTTGTTTTTTCACTTTACACGCAAAAACATCGACATCCGTTCTGCGTTCATGCTTCAAAAGACCTCAGTTTACACGCATGCAAGTGTTCTTTTCTCCCTCTTCCTCTCTTTACGTCAAATTTAGAATTGTCTGAATACAAAAGCATAACAAATACTTTCTGTCGGTTTTCTACTGAATAACCAGACGCAAAGCAACTTTCTTATTTAAAAATATTCTTTGATGGAACGAAAGATATAACCTGAATTCTACCCCGAGTTAAACCTAACCTTACGGCTTTTAAAATACAACGAAAATATGCTCGGTTATGTTCTGGTAACACGATCATAAATTGATTTTAGATTTAGCGCTAGAAATGCATGATACCCTTAGAAATCATGAAGTTTTAATCTTTTCTACCTGAGGTAAGACATGAGATATGTACACTATCAAGAATCAGCGACATCTGCGAAATCCATTCACTGAACAGACTAATCAAGATAACCGCCTGACCAAAAATAATGAAAAGTAATTCTGATTCATTTGTGATTAGTTCGAATCTTGAAACAAACAATAAGTTCGACGTAATACAATATGGGTGAAACGATATCCTATCTCATCTAAATCTATGCACATTGTTAAAACAATAAAGTTATTGAAATTCTTAGAATGGTAACGATATCGAAGAAAATACGAAGGATGTGCATTACCGTTTGGATCATCTGTCGAGTAGAATGCGAAAGCAGGAAAAATCAATGTTCACCGGTACTCTCGTTGAACTTCTTTGTCGGCAACGAGGCAACCAAATTCGAAGGATATCCTTTTGTGTTTTTTCATACACCTTCCAATAAAAAACACTATATACTCGTACGTAGAGACATCGCATTATCACTTATCATAGCAACATTCGAGTTAGAAATACGACCCGGTTCCTGACGACGCGCCTAGCAGACGACATTTTGCTTTTGACGAATTCGCCCGAAGTCCATCGACCGTCCCCGAACTCGAGTGAATCGGCAGCTGCCCTGATTCGCAACGCCACACTGTGGCTCTCTCTCTCTCTATCGCCCTGCGCTCCGCGGATTGACCCAATCCAATACTTGGCTTTTCCTTGATTACGTATTATCTAATTGTTTCTTTCTCTCTTCACTTTTATTTTGAATAAACTTTCTTCCTCCTTTGATAAGAATTTCTATTCATAACAATTGCGAAGGGAGTAGAGGAAACTAAGGAAGGAAAAATAAATTACGAAACGTATTAATCAATAAGAAAAGGTCAAGATCGAATAATTATTCGATACTTAACATTATCAAAATTTATAAAAAAAAAAGAACCTTCAGCCTAAAACAGGTGTATTTTACATATGAATGAATGAAATGTGTCTGACATCATACCTATAACGGATGACATCAACTTTTTCACTAAGAGATTAGTCTCCACTGCCATCGGCCATTCATATAGCGGCAAACGGTAGCCTTCGCAGCCACTTGCTTCATTTGATGTCACCGCTAAATAAAGCAACTGACACGGTCGGTAAATACGAGGACGATGTTTCGAGTAACACCTATTCCATAATTAGATGTTTATTAAGAGATTCGTTGAATATCAATTTCAAAGTCCAATGTATCATAGATGATCTTATCATGAGTTTAACAATATGCTGATGTTTTCCAACTTGTTTTCGCGATCATGTATTATTTGGTCTAGCTGTTTTAGATACGTTATTACTCGCTGTTTGAAGTTCATGTCGCGTTGAATTTTTATTACCGTGCTTTTCTTTTTGTAACATTCCAATAATGTCTTCCTTCTGTTTAATTATATCGCTTAAATGCTGTACTTTATGCCGACAAATACGTTTCATTCGCTGAACACGAAGTTCCTGTAATTTTATTCGCTTTTCGGCTGATTCTACTTGCTGTCTCGCACCTTTTCGGACAATCTGAAATAATACTTGTTTATCATTTTTTGCACAGCGCTATCAATACGCTAAATAGTTTACACGTACTTCTAATTGATTTTTTAAATCATTCACTCGACTAGTAATGCTTTTCCCAAGGCGATCAATATTTGCATTTTCTTGTTCCGTTTCGCGCAGGATAGCTAATAGTTTTTCTCTTTCTGCCACGATTCTTTCATATTCGGAAAACAATTCTTCGCAATAAGCCGTCGCCTTACTTAATTGCCCTTTCAGAGAATCACGTGAAATCCGAGTTGAATATACAAGACCTTGCACGTGTTCGAGTTTACGTTGGGTACGCCTGAAGAAAATCTACGTATATGATACATGCGAGTGAGACAGATAAAAATGATACTGAGAAGAAAAAGAAACAGATAACTTACTTCAAATTTTTCTCAAGGTTTTCAACAAGACCTTTCAAATGATTTCTTTCGGCTATGGCCATTACGAGTTCTTTCTCATTCTCTGGTTGATTCTCTTCCATACGTTTTATATGATTGGAAAGATTACGTTTTTCATTTTCATATCGGTATTTTAATTCATCTAGTAATTTTTTACATTCTTCGACAGCGGCAGTGTGAATGCTCGTAGGTATTGTTTGATCCTCTTTACTTTTTAGTTTCTCAAATTCTTTGCTTAAAATTTCATATTTTCCGCGAAGATTACTTAATTCTGATACGCAGGTCATATTTTCTTTCCTAAGTACATCATTACGTTTTAAAATTATTCCCATCTTTAATTCATACGCCGAACGAACTTCGGCAGTTTCCCTTTTTAAACTTCCGGTATCCTTTTCCAAAATATCGTTTTGTTTTTTTAAAGATGCAGTGTTTTCAACTAATGTCGCAATTTCCTTTGCATACCTATCGCATTCTGACCTTAATTCTTGTACTTCTTTGTGCATAAGTTCATTCTCTGTAAGAACTTCCTTACATCTATTACCAAAATCAGCCATCTCCTGTTCGTACATGCGTAAAAGTTCTCGTTTTTCCGACAAATTTTCTTGATAGGCATTCAAAAGTGGACCTAATGCATGAAAATTAATACTACCCCAAATTCTCTGATTGTACTTCTCTTCCTTTTCACTGCTTTCTATGTGTGCAGAATTGATTTCAAGTTTTTGATCTCTTAATTTGTCTTGATATCTTTCCAATTCAGTATTCAATTGGTAGACAATGTTTTTTAAAAGCAATATATCTTCGTTTAACTGAACTTTCTCTGCTTCAAGTTTTTCATTGTGTTTTGTTAAATCAACTTTTGCCTCTTCTAGTTCTTGTACTACATGGACTAAAGTTTCATAGTGTGAACATATTCCTTTATATTCTGTTTCTCTTTGCTCTAATATGCTACCTAATTTTTTACATTCTTCTTCAATATGTTTATAACGTTTTTCTAATTTGTGATACTCATTGGCTATTCTCAAGGAATCTTTAGAAGGATGTTTGGTTTTTATTCTTGATGATACAGTACCTGTTATAATAAAACACCACTTTTAGTATTATTTTGATAAGATATGAATTATGTTGTGTCTCATGTCTATTAATAGTACCTGATTCAACATCATCTTCATCAAATGATTGTTTATGACTTTTCTCATGTGATTTCTTATTTCTTTCACAATCATGTTTTTTGTTCATTGAACATACATTATCATCATTATCATTTGTATCACCTATGTTATAATCTGATGGATCTTTATGCGATACATGAGATTTAAGTGTATGTTTTGCTTTGGAAATGCGCCTGCGACAATAAACTGGTCTGCAAGGTGTCTCCAAACTACTGTTTATAAGCGATGTTCTTCTACAACTGTGCTGTAGTATATGATAGGTTAGAACAAACAAAAAACTTGTATACAATAAAACGATACATTAAAATCTTATAAAATGCATTACCTTCTTTTTTTGTTGTTCAGTACTACCTTCATAATTAGTCATTGTCATACTTTACATTTTAAAAAACAGTGATCATCTGATCAAGACTGATCGAAATACTTAAACGTAAAACGATCTTGATTGATTTTATACCACAAATTCATCGCAGATCTATTTAATATATTTAAATCTACGAAAAGTATACGCGCGTGCGTTTGATCGCGCATACGTATGTATTTTTATTAATTTCCAAGTTTGTATATTTAGCATTACCATAGTAACGATGTTTAATGCAATCAGTGACTACAGATTCAAAAACAACTGGACATTTCTTGAGAGATCACGATTTTAGGGGTTCCAGAAGCCCCAAAGTTAGGTATACCGCAGGTCACCAGAGTCCATAACTGTAACGCGCAGGTTGGAAGATGGTGGGGGAACGCAGCGAGCTCTCTACTAATCGCTTTCCACTTCGTTTGGGAATATCGCCAATCAGGGTGAAGATGCGCACTAGAGATGCGTGAAGAACGAAAACTGGTCTTTTCGCAGTTATGGACTCTGGTGAATTGCGGTATAGATCTGCATGCAAAGAACACAGTTGGTATAACAATCGTATGTTGTCGCATAACTTTCAGTGGTTGCCGATAGATAATGCCAGTATTCCCAGTTTTGGAAAATCGATCGGTAAGTTATTGAGTAGTTTGCGCTGCTTTTGTATAGATGGCGATAAGATCCAATTTTAAAAATTAATTTACAGCAGTCTTTTCAAAATACAAGTTTGTGAATACGAGTTTATCAACCAATTATTCTAATAATTTGAGAGTCTTGCGCTGATTTTGATTAACTTTATAAAGAATACGAATTAAAGAGAGTAAAACTGATGAAATCAAAGGTTGTACTGTTTTAAAAGTAGACCGAAATATAAAATTATGAATCTTTTAGGGGCGATTGAATTTTGCAATTAAATTGTAATAAATGTTTTAATTTGTACACGAATTGTAAAATATAAAAATAAGCACTGTTATCTAACGATTTTATCGAGGTGCTAGTGTCAGTTCTAGTTAGCTGTTTGCAGTGGTTGTAAATCTAATCTCACTTTCGCCAGTCATTATGTGACGCACTCTACGATTAAGGACGAAGATTTTAAGAATTAAATTAAGTTGAAGGATCCGTTCAGAAATAAAGAATCAATGAAAAAGAAAAACTTCAATGAATGCATTCCGGATTGAGGCTAATTTGTTTTCAAATGTTCGTTGATAAAAGTTAATTGAACTTTAATTTTGAATACGTGTTTAATATGCTTTTTATCATTATGATCGCTTGTTGGAAAATTTGCGCTGGTTTATCTACCCTACTTATCTTCTCAACTGGTTAAGAGAATAAGCTTGATTAAAAATAAAGTTTTTAATTCTTTTATGCATTATAAATGGTTCATTTGTATACCTACATTTTTCAAAAGCACTATTGCTTTTCTTTTTCTTTCGCGTAAAGATACACGGTAATTGCTAGTTGAAATGATAAAAACGTTTGTTGCTATTATTATTTTATCTGTTAATTACAGTACCTGCTAAATGTCCTCGACTATTTGACGTAGTAGACATATTTATTATAATATGTATAATAATGTCACAAAAGAAGTGCTTTTCGTTAAATACTGTTATCGTGTTAAAATCCATCAACAAATGTTTAACGTTCACTTAAAATAGGAAAAACAATCCATTATTTTGAAGGCTCAATTTTACTATGGCGGATAAATGGTGCTACGAATATGATATTAGCACATATTCAAAAGAAATTTTATTTCATCAATAATTATGGGATCACTCTGAAAGTCTTGAGAAATTATTACCGGAAGCCCCGAAACAATCGAAACCTTTTTGTACTCTGAAAGTGCATTCAAATAAAAATGAAGATTATCTTTTATGAGGGTTGTTAAGATTATCAAGATTACCGAAGCTTAGCTAACGTATGAACTAATACCCTGATATCCATATCTCGGATATCTCCTACGTATTATTAAACAGGAAAAAAAAAATATATGATTAAAACGATTATGTCGACTAATGAGGCAGACGCTAAGCGTGTGCAACGTGAAAAAACGGGAACAAACACCAATACCGAGAAAATTTCGTTCATACCCGTTGCGAAAATGTACTTGGGTAGTTGTAAATTTACCTTTATTTTCGAGGTTACGACTACTACTGATAAGACAATATGATAGCACCCGCAAAATTATTGGCCTTTGTTTTAATTTGTCCTCGCGATAGGGATAAAAACGTCGGAATTCGCGCGAAAACAGCTAGATCGTGACAGTCGTTTGTTTGAAATTTTCGTAACGGTATCGGGGAAATCGATCGACGGGTCAAAAGTATCGTATGGTTTCCTTTTGATAACGAGATTTCGTGGCCACGGTATCATGGCAAGAGGTACATCGGCAATAATCTATTATTGTATACCGATCATCAAAAAAAAGAAATGAATTACAAATTATATCCTGATTGGTATCAGTAATCGATCGTAAAGTGCTTTAAAAATAGATTCTGCGTTTCTATGCATAATTTTCTGTAAAAAAATCCATAAAAATAGTTCCTTACTCCATTCTAGCGATCATTTTGATAAAGGATGATTTTTTTTTATAGTAGTGTTATCGGTATTGTGCTGGCTCGTGTTGTTAATCAACGTAAGCGAAAGTGCGAATGCAGAATGCACTTTTTCCGATGAACTGACCGTCGGCACGTCGTATTACGTTTACAATCCCAGATATCCGTACAAGTATCGAGGAGGAAATTCATGCTCGTGGACCATGAAGAGCGACTATCGTATTAAAATGAATTGTACCACGTTCGAATTACCGAGGGTAAGTCGAATCTTCAAGTATTTAAGAAAATTATTTGCAACGTCAAGAATATAAAAAATAAGGAATTATTGTCGTAGAGTAACAACTGTAATCAAGATAAATTGAGCGTTCAAGTTAATTCGACCACCTCGTATCAATTTTGCGGCAATAGGGCGTTCAATATATCATCCGATGGGCCCACGATGGTGGTGACGTTTAAATCGCCTCTGTGGTCGACAGGTGGTCGATTCCTCTGCGAAGTAGAAGCGATTAAGAGACCGGAAGATTTGATTTCTGAAAATTGTCGATGTGGATGGAAGAATCCCGTACGTATGACACAATTTTAATACCTCAACCCCTTCGCTAGTACATTCGAGGATTACTATAGGGAAAAGAATCTCTACCCTAAATTGGATGGAATTCTTTCAATTAAATAAAATACCTATGCTACTTTTAGACTAGAATCGTCGGTGGAGTCAACGCAGGAGTGAACGAGTTCCCGATGATGGCTGGTTTAGTTGATTCTATAAATCGAAACGTATTTTGCGGAGGTACGATAATATCAAGCAGATACGTGGTCACTGCGGCACATTGTGTCGATAAAAAAGATTACCGTGAACTAGGTATTCTGGTGGGCGATCATGATCTGAGTACAGGTAGGCGTCGTTATTCGCGAACATGTTTCGTACGGAGGATACGTTCAGTTAGAACATCTTTGGTATTTAGGCGCAGACACAAACGCCACGGTACTGCATCGAGTGATTCGTTCTATTGTGCACCCTAATTACAGTCTCGGAAATAATTTGAACGATATAGCTCTTTTGAAAACGGACAGAGAGATAGTTTTCAATAATCAGGTTGGACCTGCTTGTCTACCATTTCAACACTCGCCAGACACATTCGGAGGCAATTATGTTGATGTATTGGGTTGGTAAAATTAATCATCTTGGTATTTTAAATATTAACAGAGTTAAACAAGTATTTTTCCTTTTTAAACTAGGTTGGGGATCAACCAGTTTCGGTGGTAGCCCTTCAGATATCCTGCAAAAAGTTACCCTAAGTGTATTGACGAACCTACAGTGTTCCGAATTTTACAGAAACATCACCAGAGACCTAATTTGCACTTATGGCGAGGATAAAGACTCGTGTCAGGTAAGATACACTTTTAATAAAAAAAGATTCAAATTTTCAAGTACCTACGAGCATGATACGATTACTCGATCTACAGTTTGACAGCGGGGGACCAGTTCTATGGCAAAACCCCACCAGTAGGCGACTGATACTTACAGCAATCATCAGTCAGGGCTCCAATTGCGGTATTTCTGCTGGTATAAATACGAGAGTTGGTGCTTACCTAGATTGGATTGTTTCCCAAACTTCAGGTACAAGCTTACGATATTTGGTGTAACATAATCTAAACTTAGGTTCCCAACCTATGGATCGTGGCTCCCATAAGGGTTGCAGATGGTTTCTAAGGAACTTTCAATATTATTTGAATTATTTTCTATATCGTACTCTTGATGTATGTTTTTAAACTTTCATGTGAATTATCTGGTTATTATGAAAAATGGTCACGAATCGAGCAAGGTTGGGAAACATTGAATCTATAATGCTGCGTTCGCACAATTTCCACGACTTTGTTGTTACAGATTCCTCGTACTGCATCATTGAATAAATCAACATACCTCATCGGCTTCCTCATCTGTTCGTCTCGATTCAACTTTATGTCGATAAGACGAGTGACTATTCCCATTACCTTTTCATTGCGAAGGACGGATATATACGTCCTCGTATAATCGACCATTGATTGCGAAGAACGTACGTAAGCGTACGGTTATCGATCGCAATTCGATATTAGTAATATCAGCCATAAATTTTTTCCTGGAAACACGAACACGTGTTTTAAGTAGATTACAAGTGGCGTGGATAAAATTTACCGCGTAATTCTTTCAGTTTTTAGATTACAAATATTATTTATTTATCGCACGAAATTTAACTGAAACGTGTAACTCATTATTACCAAATGTAAATATAAGTACTGAACTGTGTTTTGTGATCGATTTTACGTATTCCAATCCTCTACTTATCAGTATTAGCGATCGATTTGTGTTTATCACACAGCAGCAGCCGCATACGGAAGGGTTGATACTATCTAATGCAATCGATGACACACTATATTTCCTCTGTAAAGATAAACTTCGTATTAATAAAGAATAATTGAAATTAAATCTGAGATCGTTTTATTATAATGAGATCCCCATTTCCAATGAGTCATTCTTGCTGATAGTATAATTTATATCCTTAACAAGCGCATTCTTTTTATGTGCATTTCACAATAAAGTTGTGAAACTGCATTTTTAACACGTGCCACATCATCTTAAAAAAGAAAAACACTGAAAAAAGGAAGAAATAAAACGATCGTATGACATTTTTCTGCTTAGGATGACCTGTTAAAATCTATTCACGGCTTCGCCAAATACCCTTGTTCAAATTGAAGGATAACACGTGTACACATTTTATTAAATATTGCTACTTCGAGCAACCCTGTGGTTCACCCTCGAGACCTCCCTGTCTCCCCTCTCTCTCTTCTTTTCTACGTCTGTTTCTTATACCCTCCCTTCCATTGTTCATGCTAATATTATTTGACGTTTACGTAAGAACGACGCCAAAGCGTCTGTCTTTTGTAACGTTCGAATCGATTCCAATCCGTACGAAACCTATTTTTATCAAACAACGAAGATCTACTGGATTTCGAGTGGTATTGCAACACCTTGTTCGCAAACAGAAGAACGAAGAAGATAGTACATCGATTCGTAAGAAAACAAATGAAGTGAAACCTTCCAGTAACGTAACTGCCGGATTTCTTTTATGCCGGGTTTTAACCCTCCTAC